GTTTTATGGTTTCATGACTTACATTCAGGTCTTTGATCCATTTTGAGTTTACTTTTGTGTATGGGTTGAGACAATAATCCAGTTTTATTCTCTTACATGTAGCTGTCCAGTTTTGCCAACACCAGCTGTTGAAGAGGCTGTCATTTCCCCATTGTATATCCATGGCTCCTTTTTCGTATATTAATTGACCATATATGTTTGGGTCAATATCTGGACTCTCTTTTCTGTTTCACTCATCTGTGGGTCTGTTCTTGTGCCAGTACCAAATTGTCTTGATTACTGTGGCTTTGTAGTAGAGCTTGAAGTTGGAAAGCGAGATCCCCCCCACTTTATTCTTCCTTTACAGGATTGCTTTAGCTATTTGGGGTCTTTTGTGGTTCCATATGTATTTTAGAACTATTTGTTCTGGTTTGTTGAAGAAAGCTGTTGGTATTTTGATAGGGATTGCAATGAATCTGTAGATTGCTTTAGGTGGGATGGCCATTTTGACAATATTAATTCTTCCTTTCCATGAGCATGCGATTATTTTCCATTTATTGGTTTCTTCTTTAATTTCTTTCATGAGTGTCTTGTAGTTTTCAGGGTGTAAGTATTTCACTTCCGTGGTTAGGTTTATTCCTAGGTATTTTATTCTTTCTGATGCAGTTGTGGATGGAATTGTTCCCTGATTTCTCTTTCTGAAAAACCACAATTATTTAAATGGAAAAGAACACTGCACAATTACAAGGTTACTAAGTGTAACCTCATTGTACACTTCTCTCATGGTAGAAAAATGGCAGATTTTCACATGATTATCCTATTTACAAAGGTTATGATGTGCTTTTACAGAGCAGCATAACAATCCTGGGGATGAACTTGTTTTAAGTAGGGAGTTCAGGTTTGTGAAAAATTATTTGATTTGTTTGGGGCCAGAACCGGACAAAATGACCTTGGTATTTTGGTCTGTCTCAGGGTACAGAGCACATTCTTTCCGGACTGGTATGTGCAGTGCTTAGCCACCATGGAAATGGGGCAAAATGCCTCTTTTTGCTTGCATCATCCCACTAGGCAGGGTGGGCATGGAGTGTGAGTGTGGATATATGTTAGTGATCTCATCTCTGTGGGGTCTGAGTGCCTCTGTGATCTGTGAGAGGAGAGGCCCATGCACACGTGTGAGTGGGGCTGTGGGAGGCCTGCCTGGAGTTCAGGCTGAAGCACCAGCACAGAGGCTAGAGGGGCCTCAGTGAGAGCCCAAGAGGTGTGGAACAGAGAGGGCCTCCCCCAAAGCCTGAGGCATAGGGTGGGGGAGGAGTTGGTACAGAGAACTAAAGAGGAATGGCCTGAGGAGGACAGGAGAATCCAGAATCTTCTCAGGAAGAGAGTGTCAAGAACTGGCCGTGTTGTCACCTGCCTCAGAGAGCTAGAAAGAGAAGGACTGAACATTCTCCTTTAGGTTGGTAAGGGAAGGATGGTTGGAAAAATCAATGCATGAGAATAGTTAAAAAAAAATGGAGCATGTATGAAAACAAAGTTATAGTGTTTAAACTGTAGAACTGATACAAGAAAGATGGAACAGTCAATTACAAAATCCAGAAGTAGATTAACAGTATATAAAATAACTTAATACATAGTAATATGATATGCAAAACCCAGAAGGCATAAAGTAAAGCCCTGATAATTTAAATACAAAAAAGTTTTCTTTGGAGGAGGGTGGCTTTGTGGGAGGGGTGGCAGGAAGTGTTTAAGTTCAGCTTCCTTGGGGAGGGGCAGCTCTGAGCACCACACCCTGTGCCTAAGGAGATCTGTCCTTTCAGGGGCTTGGCCCACACCCTGGCTGGGCTCTTTCCCTTTCACGTCTTGCGTTGCCCACTCCATCCCTGGTCTCTCTGGTAGCACTTCCTTTACAAATCACCCGCACACCAATTCTCATCTTGAGGCCTGTCACTGGGAACTAATCCAAGAAAGCTCTGAAAAAAGGACCATACTTCTGTGTGCATGTTGTGAAACTTGCTTCAAATTCAGTATTTCTCTTGTTAGGTTTTTGTGAAACACTTGTCCCTCAACATCCTCAGGATTAGGGGCTGGGGAAGGGCAGATTTTTGAGCTACTGAGTTAAAAAAAATATATTGATACTATTTGAATGATGGCTATTACAAGAATTTTTTTAAAATTGCATTTACTCTATGTTTGTATACACCAAGTGCTTTTTCTTGTGTTTTCTTAAAAGCACTCAGTGGAATAGGGCAGGTAGTATTGTAATGGCCATTTTACTGCTGTGAAATCTGGTCAGAGGAAGACCATTTCACACCTGGAGTTGGAAGTCTTCCTTAGATTGACTCAAATTCTGTACCCCATCCCACCTCTGACCATCCCAACCACAGCATGGTGATGGTCTAAAATTGCCCATCTTTCTCTTGAAGTGACCAGTCTCAGAGACTAGCAAAGCTGTTCTGCTGACAGGTCTTCTTATAAGGAAGGGTGGGTCAGGGTTTGCTGTGTCACATTTGAATTCTTGATGAGTGGAACAGCTGGAGGGTCACAGTGAGTTAGAGGGGAAGATGGTAATTCAGTTGTTATGAGGCTGTATTTTTTTTGTGGACATATTATTTTATTAATTTTGTTAAAGAAAATCTTCATGTTACCATGTCAGTACTTCCTTTTATATAATTCTGGATTACAGGGTAGAAGGCATCCTCTCTTGCCTTTGGGGTTCTCCCCCTTGAGTCTAGGTGCAGGAAAATGTGCACATAATTTCAATATCCAGACCCCGTCTATGAGCCTCAATGATGCCAGAGCAGGGTCTGCAGACCCACAGAGTTCACAGAAGTGTCTCCAGATTCTCAAGCTCTTTATGAGCCTGGGCATAACCTGTCTCTCTGCTAATGTGTGGGCTTGGGAGAACATTTCTTTCTTTATTCATCTATGCTCTGGCTCTGCCCATGTACATTTATTTATTCAAGCCTACCCACTCCTTTTCCTTTACAGGGGAATTTCCAGGAACAATTCCTCTAGTCTTAGATCATTTTTTAATGACAGTTCCTTCTGCTGCTTTTGCGAAGTTGTTTGACTAGTGGCATGACATTTGGAGAACCCACATAGGAGAAATCAAACTGTTTACACTGCTTTTATTTTCCATTTAATTGTCCGATGTTTAAGCAATCAACCAAATTCTGTTAGGCAACTCAGTTACAGAATTCCAGTGAGTGAGATGATGATAGAATTCCAAGTGCCATAATTTTCTCAATGTATTTTTTAATGAGAATTTTTTTGGTATCATTAATATATAATCACATGAGCAACACTGTGGTTACTAGACTCCCTCATCATCAAGTCCCTACCACATTCCCCATTATAGTCAGTGTCTATCAGCGTAGTAAGATGCTATAGAGTCATGATGCTGTATTTTGAAAATGGTGAGATGGAAGATAGTTGAAGATGTTTTTTCAGAGAAGGGAAGGCAGGACTCTCTGGATCTAAATTTCAAAGAAAGAAAGACTTTGAGGAAGAAAAGCAAGATTCCAAGGATTGAAGTGTGGAGAAAATATGAGAAGAGCAAAGAGCCATTGAAGAAGAACCTATGGTGGAAGTAGGAGGAAAACAGGACAGTGTTGGCTGATTGTTGGGAGGATGGGGGATCAGGACAGAGAAGTAATTTTTTCAGAGAGAAGAAGGATCACACTTTCCTGAACTGGAGGGACCCTGGAGGAAATGATTGTAGGAGTGACTATATTGTGGCTTTGGTCTTATTGGATTAGAAAGCCAAATACATTGTTTGGCTTCACAGGGAGAACTACCTCTTTAGATAGTGCCAGGAGGTGAAATTTTATTGAGCTCTGCAGTAACCATCTTATGTTAATTATTTAATATAATCCTCATTTCAACTCCTTAAAGCAATATGCTTATTGTTTCCATTTTGGAGATAAGTTAACGTAGGTCCTGAGAGGTTGCATGATCAATAAGTGGTGGAGCTAGGCTTTGAACTCATTTATCTGATGCTAGAGCCTGTATGTCGTCTCTGATGGTTAACTACTGAGGACATGGCCTGGAAAATCTTATATTACTTGCTCACAGTGACCATTCAACTCTTACTGAAAAAAAAACAATTTATTCTTACTTTCTAGGGGGCAGATGATTTCTGCTGAAGATTGTGAATTCATTCAAAGGTTTGAAATGAAAAGAAATCCTGATGAGAAGCAAGAGATGCTTCAAACTGAAGGCAGTCAGGTGATCAATATAAGTATTATATGATGAATACCTCCCTGTGTCATTAAAAATTTTAGAAAACATTTTTAATGACTGTGTGACAGTATATTGTAGGTATGCCTCATAATTTAAAATTCTTTTTCTCTGGAAGACATTTGAGTGATTTCTGGTTTTCTTTGTTAATTTTAGAAAAAATGCTATATAATTATTTATTAATCCTATTCTTTATTTCTGAAAATCATTTTAGAATAGATCACTAGAAGGGAAATTAATGTTTCAAGGTGTTTGATGTTTTTAAAGTTGCTTAGCTTTAAAAAAAATTTCTTTTGATTTCCACATTTAATTCTTAGTAGAATAAGGTGTAATTCCACTGACCATCAGATTTTCTGATATGGGGTCCTGATTGGCCAAAGGAGCTCTTATACATCTCATTCTGATTCTCACAACAATACCGGGAAATTTGGGAGGGGAACATATTGTTGGCATCAGTTTTTGTTGAATTTCAGAGAGCATAGTTGGTAAGTCATATTGTGGAGACGGGCTCTAGCCTTCTGATTCCAAGCTCAGTGGTCTTGTTGTGCTCGTGTTGTGCTTCCCAGTAAAGGAAAAATATTTCAGAACCAATGATGATTTTTTACTAACTACGTAGCTTTATCCTATCATGGGCAATCAAGAGTTGACAGTGGCTCGTTCTGTCTATGTAAATGTACTAAACATTTTGAAATTTATCACTGAAAATCAAATATCTGATGCAGATTATAGTATGATCCTCCTGTACTTCACAATATTTGTATAAAAGGTGTACATTTTCTATAATTGAAATCTGCTAGTTAATAGAACTCTGAATCCTGCAAGAGATATAAGATTTTAGTGAAATTCCATTAAAATGTGGTATTTGCAATTGAAAACAATAATTAACATTAATTTTTTCTCTAGTGTGCTAAGACATTTATAAATCTGATGACTCATATCTCCAAAGAACAGACAGTTCAGTACATACTAACCATGGTGGATGATACATTGCAGGTATGTGGACCTTTATTTAATGCCTTTGGTGACTTCATTATTTTGTGCACTGCACAGTAACAGCAGTTCTGGAGGGTTTCACTTACAGCACTTGTTCTCTTCTAGTGTGTAATATATTCTTCTTCATTATATAAGTTGTAATTTGCTAATGGTGGTAAGGATGGGAATGTCCACAAACAGGCTATTTTTGTCATTTTCCAGGATGTTAGGTAATCAGTCTGTATTTTTTCCACAATACCTCCAAATTCTTTGTTGAACACCAGCTGGGCGAGTCACTTGAGGCTTTGCAGATGCTCTTACAGATTATCTGATGTATTTACAAATGATAAGACTCCTCCTCTCTTAGTCATTCAGCAGATTTCAGTGCCCTTAGTTTCCAGGCCAGTGCCAGGTGCTGCTTGTTCAGTGTTGAATGTAGGCATGGTACTTGCCCTCAGAAGCATTCTCTGGAGAACATTTTCATGTCAGCTGAGGCTTTTCCGGTTGCCTGAAGTTTCTATTTACTTCTTTACTGTCCCTGAACACAGAGGGGCCTCCCCTAGTCACAGTTTTGTACTTCACACTTGAGTATAATGTAGGTTTAGATTATTAGTATATAGAGCAGTCCTTTTTGAGACAGGCCATGTCTCAGGAGACTTAAAGAAGTGTCAGTCTAGCTGCTTATGAAGCATCATTCTGACATTTTACAAGGAGAAATACTTACTGATGGCCTGCTATGCACTAAGCAGTGTGCTATTAACTGAAGATATGAAGGAAGAATGATGCTGTCTACTTTGAAATGGAGTAATTTTATAATGTGAGTAAGGATCAACATCCAGCCAGGGAAGATGTAGTCCTGTCTGAGAATGATCTCAGTTTCCTAGCATCTTTTTCCTTTAAAATGATGAGGGTAAGAAAAATGGGGAATGTTATGTTCTGCCTTCTTTTATCTTGGTTAATGCATAGGATTCCACCTGGAACATAGAGACTGAGTTGGCATGCAGACCTTGGTTTTATTTATTTAGTTACTAAAGTATCATTGATATATAATCATTGTGTTGGTTTCAAATACACAGCACAGTGGTTCAAGAGGTACCCATGTTATCAAATCCTCACCTTCTCCAGTGCAGTCACTATCCATCAATGTAGTAGGATGTTACAGAATCATTAACTGTATTCTCTCCATGCTGTACTACTTTCCCCATGACCAGCCTATATTGTGATTGTGAATTCTTGTGCCCCTTAATCTCCTTCTCCCTCCCTCTCCACCTTCCCCAACTCCTCCCCTGTGGTAACCACCAGTCCCTTCTCAGTGTCTGTGAGTCTGCTGCTATTTCATTCCTTCTGTTTTGCTTGTTGTTATACTCCACACATAAGTGAAATGATTTGGGACTTGTCTTTCTCCACCTGTCTTTCACTGAGCATAATGCCCTCTAGATCCATCCATGTTGTTGTAAATGGGAGCTTTGTTTTCTTTTTATGGCTGAATAATACTCCATTGTGTATATGTACCACATCTTTATCCACATCTTTACTGATGGACACTTAGGTTGCATCCATATCTTCTTGGCTATTGCAAATAGTGCAGCAATAAATGTAGGCGTGCATATGTCTTTTTGAATTAGGGATTTTGTTTTCTTTGGGTAAATTCCTATTCCTAGGAGTGAAATTCCTGGGTCAAATGGTATTTCTCTTTTTAATTTTTTGAGGCACCACTATACTGCTTTCCACAATGGTTGCACCAACTTACTTACATTCCTACCAACAGTGTAGGAGGGTTCCCACTTCTCTGCATTCTCACCAGCATTTGTTATTTCTTGTCTTGGATAGTGGCCATCCTAACTGATGTGTGGTGATATCTCATTGTGGTTTTAATTTGCATTTTCCTGATGATTACGATGTGGATCATCTTTTCATGTGCCAGTTGGCCGTCTGTATTTCTTCTTTGGAGAAGTGTCTGTTCAGGTCCTCTGCCCATTTTTTAATCTGGTTATTTGTTTTTTGAGTGTTGAGGCATATGAATTCTTTATATATTTTGGATCTTAACTCCTTATCAGATGAGTTATTTATGAATATATTGTCCCATACTGTAGGATGCCTTTTGTTCTGCTGATGGTGTCCTTTGCTGTACAGAAACTTTTTAGTTTGATGTAGTCCCACTTGTTCATTTTTTATTTTGTTTCCCTTGCCTCAGGAGGTGTGTTCAGTAAAAAGATGCTCATGTTTATGTTCAAGAGATTTTTGCCTGTTTTCTTCTAAGAATTTTATGGTTTCGTGACTTACATTCAGGTCTTTGATCCATTTTGAGTTTACTTTTGTGTTTGGAGTTAGATAATAATCCAGTTTCATTCTCTTACATACAGTTGTCCAGTTTTTTCAACACCAGTTGTTGAAGAGGCTTTTTCCCATTGTATATCCATGGCTCCTTTATCATATATTAATTGACCATATATGTGTGGGTTTATATCTGGGCTCTCTATTCTATTCCATTGATCTATGGGTCTGTTCTTGTGCTAGTACCAAATTGTTTTGATTAATGTAGCCTTGTAGTAAAGCTTGAAGCCAGGGAGCATAATCCCCACAGCTTTGTTCTTTTCTTTCAGGATTGATTTGGCTATTTGGGGTCTTTTGTGGTTAAATATTAATTTTAGAACTACTTGTTGTAATTCATTGAAAGAAAGCTCTTCTTATTTTGGTAGGGATTGCATTGAATCTATAAATTGCTTTGTGCAGGATGGCCATTTTGACAACATTATTTCTTCCTATCCATGAGCACAGGATAGATTTACATTTATTGGTGTCTTCTTAAATTTCTCTCATGAGTGTCTTAAGTTTTCAGAGTAAAGGTCTTTCACCTACTTGGTTAGGTTTATTCCTAGGTACTTTATTCTTCTTCATGCAATTGTAAATGTAGTTATTTTCCTGATTTCTCTTTCTGCTGGTTCTTTGTTAGTATATAGGAGTGCAACAGATTTCTTGACCTTGGTTTTATTTTTATGTATATGTATACACACACACCACACACACATGTTCAGGAATATCTTCAATTTTTATATACATGTATGAATTAGAGACCATGAGTTCACGTCATCTCCAATTTCATTTCAGCTCAGTGCCACAGAGCTTCTTCTCATCTCGCTTTCCATGTCTATAACTCTCTCCTGTGACAATGAGATTGTGAGCTCCTCTTACCCTCTGTATATGGACTCCTTTGTTCTTCCCTATAATACAAAGACAATTGTTTCAGAATTGCTGATCCATATAACTGTGAAAAACAAGCCCTTTACCTAGAGTGCAGTATTCTTTTATTTGCAGTACTTTGTCATTAAACTGAGGGTTTGTAATCAGAGTATTGTGTTCAGATTTCTTAGAGTGTTTATTTATATTATTTTTCTTGAAATACAGCTAGATTCACTTGTTTTTATTTGTATTCTACTTTAGTTTTTTTCTCCTCCTTGTTGATTGTATTTTATTATTTTTGATTATGTAACGTGATTCCAGAGGTCAAAACTATACAGAAAGGTATACTCAGAGAAATGTTACCAAATCCTCACCGCATCCCTTGCGCCACATTTCCACCTACTTTTGTAGGAAACCAATTTCATGGATTTCTGGTTTACCCTTACTGTTTTTTTCTCTGCAAAAAGAGACTGGCAGGTATACATATATTTTATTATTTCTTCCTCTTTCTTATATAAAAATACATTCTACATATAATGTCCTGCATTTTGCTTGTTTCGCTTAATGAAATATGCCAGAAATAATTTCCTGTAAGTTCAGAGAGAGCTTCTAGATTCTTTTTTGACAGACACAAGTATTCCTTTATTAGATGTACCATAGTTTACTTAATCAATGTAATGGACATGGAGGTTGGTTTATACACATATATTTGATTTAATAAAGCTTTGGTTTTCAAAGTGTATAGTTAGTGGGACCTATTCATGAATCTTGATCAGCAGTGGGGGCATCTTCAGCTTTGGTGATTTTGGTGTAAATTACTTGAGCTCTGTTTTGGAATCAATTCATAAATCCTCTACTAAGGAGCTCCCAAAGACTACCCTGGCCAGGGAACCAGGAATCTTCAGTCTCAGAGACAACCACTAGGATTATAAGCTTTATAGTTGGAAAGTTCCTTATATAAATTATCATATGTGGCTCTGTCAAACAAGGTTACGTTATTGAACTTGTCTCAAACTTTGCCTTTGGACCACTTCTCCTTGGCCTTGCCCTCAGATTTGTTCACTGGATCTTTGTCTTTCTTGGCCAACTTTCTGTCATCTTTCTTCTTGTTGCCCTTGGGTGGCATTGTGAAGCTCAGAGAACAGCTGCTACCATTGCAGGCTCACGAAGATGTGGGAGAGAAAAGTGGTATCAATATCTTGTAATTAGAAATAATGAAGTAAAGAATAGCTTTTCGCAAATGTATTTTCATATTGTTGGGACCGTACTTCATGGTAAATTCTTAGAAATGGAATTGCTGAGTAAGAGAAAGTGACATACTGTTGTTAAGATATTGCCAAACATTCAATTTTGCAGTCCCACGAACACATGAAGATACCTGTTTCCCTACAGCCTTTCCAGCAGAGGGCAACGTCAAGCATTTCCTTTTTTGCTAATCAAACTGGTATCTGAAGTTGAACGTCTTCAGATACATAGTTTTTATTTATTTTTTATTTTGTTATCATTAATCTACAATTACAGAAAGAACATTATGTTTACTAGGTTCCCCCCTTCACCAAGTCCCCCCCACATACCCCTTCACAGTCACTGTCCATCTGTGTAGTAAGATGCTGTAAAATCACTACTTGTCTTTGTGTTGCGCAGCCCTCCCTGTGCCCCCCCACGCACTATATATGCTAATTGTAATGCCCTCTTTTCTTTTTCCCCGCACTTATCCCTCCCTTCCCACCCATCATCCCCAGTCCCTTTCCCTTTGGTAACTATTAGTCCATTCTTAGGTTCTGTGATTCTGCTGCTGTTTTGTTCCTTCAGTTTTCCTCTGTTCTTATACTCCACATATG